CCTTTGAAAATTAAATTTCACTAAATTTATAATAGCCGTCAATTGCCTTGGGTACTTTTATTTCATGCTTTTTTTCTAATCTTCTCCTATCCACTCTTTGTGATCCCGTTCTTGGCTGACAGAAATGAAATCCAGCATGGTCTTCTGTTGCCGTAGCTACTTCAAGGTTCCACATGTTGTGCTTTCAACAGTGTGCCTTTGAAATAATGTTTGAGCTACTGTATCAGCCATTTCTACAGTTTTAACATTGTGCATTAAATTTACAGGAACTTACCCTATTAGTTAAACAGCTTTGAGCTGTATTACGATCTCTCTTTGCAATTTCCCATTTTTGTTTTATTCTGTGCGCCTCCTGAAAATCACGCTCACTGATTATTGAGGAAATTAAAATTATTACTGTTATGCGGGGCAAAATTTGATTAGATGCTCACTAAAGCCTGTTTGCTTAAATCTGTGGTTTCATTTTTTTGTCAAAATAAAATAAAAGGCATCTGTGGTGTACACTGCTCCCAAATGTACATGTCATTGTATTGTATTAATAAACAATGTCAGCCGTATAATGTGTTGGATCCGGACTAAATGTGTGTTGTTTCACAGCAGTAACAGAATGAAAAAGCCTTTTCCGGAGCAAGAATTGATTTTCTCTAAAACCAATGAGGCAACAATTGACTTAGTTTTTGAGATATGGATGTATAAAAAGTTACTAAGCGATTATTTTCCATCAACAAATCGAACCCTTCCGGAAACTCAATTTTATACCTTAATGATATACTCAAAAACCTCAAACTGAGGCTTTGAAATAGTCACACTGTTAGCAGGCAGAAACAAGAACCTGTGGTGGGCCAATCGATAGAAACTTCATTACCAGGAAGCCGGGCTAGTAATCTCCTTGGCTGCAGCTGTGAGGGACATACATTCTACCACAGCACCTGTTCTCAATGATATATCCAGTCTGCACCTGCACAGGCACAAAGGCACACTCACACTACTCTGCGGTTTAACACTACCTCACTATCTTACCATCTCTTTTCTCTGTCTGTCTCAAATACGAGCTCACAAGGATTTTGTGTTATTTCATACTCTTGCCTTGCTTCTCTCTCCCAGCCTTAGATGAGCTTTCTTACATTTGTGCCAGGATGCATCTTTAGCAGCTGATAAGAGCAGAAAAGGGAGAAAAACTGATGGGTGAAAACAGAAGAAGAGAGAAGCAGCAGGGGGGATGTGTGGAGGGGGTGGAGAGCAGTTGAAGAGTTTTTCTTTCTTTCTTTTTCAGTTAATACAAATAGACCTTTGGGGTTCAGAAATTGTGTAGTATAATATCATGTTAGGACAGCTCCATTTTACACCAAAATTGGTTCTATAATGGCAAGCCACAGAGACATTTTAAAGTATTTTTCCTTTCTAGCTTTCTCTCTTTGAGAAAATTGGGTCTCCACAGGAAAAATGACAAATCATCGAGTTATCAGGGATAAGTACTTTTGCAAGTTTTAGGCTTGGACCCGATTCTCACACTTGTAGCGATCTAATTCAGCTATAAAACCAAGGCAGGTAATAACAAAACTAAAGATTAGGTCCAAGATGGTATTTGGGGCCCAACTAGAAACAAACAACCAAAGTAGTCCTATATATCTGGACTGTTAACATGTAGCCGAAACACACCTTTTTTTTTTCTTCTTTTATGTTAATTCAACCAGTAGATGGCACTGACAGAGCAAGAACAACTACTGCTTACTTTATAATAACTCTTTCCTACCTTACTTAAATAAAAAAATAATTGTATTCCCATAATGTTAAAGAAAATAGTTCTCCTGCTCATTACTAGGAGCAGAACTAATCACTATCTGTTATCTCCTCCTTGGAGATGAGTAGTAATGCTGTGGGCAAGACTGGAGACTGTCCTCTTGAGACAGAGGGATGCACTAAGAGCACACAGCTGGATAATGTTGTTTCCAAACAGAAATATAGAAACAAGATAGGTTTTTTATTGGCATTTAGGCCTACCCTTCTATCATGGTGCTAAAGGTTTATACTGAGACTTTGTCAAGATATATCTATATGCTAACAGCTCCCATTATGCATCCCGGTACTGCAAAGTAAAGTAACTGTAGGGGCTTTCTACTGTGGCTCCCACTCAACTATGACTGACATAATATATGTGAACTAAATGGATTTCTGCCCAGTTGAATAAATTTACCCACATTTCATTGTGTGCTACTCCATTAAACTGAAATTTGTGCTTAATCTGCAGCAATTATCGGCTTGTGATAAACACAGCAAAAACAAGTTTGATTAATTCAGTGGTAGAAAACAAGTATTTCCAACTGCAGTGTATTGATTTGCCAAGAAGCAGTTCTACAAAAAAATAAAAAGCTGTGGTACATATGTCTGGAAATGAGCAATGATATACAATGGGGTTTTTTCAAGCTATATGTAGTAACTACATGTTGTTTCTTTTGATTTCACATTAATTACAATGTGTGTGTGTGTGTGTGTGTGTGTGTGTGTGTGTGTGTGTGTGTGTGTGTGTGTGTGTG